GCTCAAAATTATTCAAGAAAGTAATAAGCATATTAACCATATTGATAGAACCATTTGAAAAAATAATAAAATCGCCAGCAAAGCATAAATGAGAGATAGGAAACTCCCTAGAAGTTCTAAAATATAGGTTTGGGTGAACATCATAAAGATGGGTAAGACCTCTAGAGAGATACTCAGCCACAATATTGAAGAGTATAGGGGAAAGATGATCACCTAGCCTAATACCATGTGAGGAATTAAAAAAATGTTTCTTTTACCATTAAATATAATAGAAAAAATAAGAGCCCTCAATACTATTCTTGATTAAACTAATGAAATTAGCCTATATTCAATATTATTTAAAGAAATTAGGCCATTTTTTGAAATGAATTATGCTTTAAGGTGACAACATAATCAATATTGATAGAATCAAATTAGATAAATAATATTTAAAATAATATAAAATAGTATCCTGATATAAAATATAATATATTTTAAAATCATCTAATTTTAATTAAAATTAATATAGTATATAACATTTTAAATTACATTTTTTTAGGGAAATTTGGGGCCAAAGACCATATATTACTATAAAAGGAAGAATACAAGTAAGGAGTAAAATGACCGAACCCCACAATAGCTACAAAAAAAAAGCTAGTAGGGGAGGAAAAACAAAAACCTATACCACCAAAAACAAAAGAGAACATAAAAAAGAGAGAACAAAAAAGAGCAGCAAAAGCTCTTAAGGACTCAAGCTACAGTTCGAGCAAGAAGACCAACAAAACATTATTAGAGATGATAAGAAATTCCCTTGGTTGCTAATGAGACCCTCCAAGGGGAAGAAAGAGAAGCAACAAGCATCATTATCCTTCAGAAAATACCCCCAACTTATAGGGATACTATTCAAAGAAGAGATGTGAATGCATTTCTAAAGTAGAATAACATAGAATGGAAGATGTTTGAGCACGGATGCCTTGCCTAACCATCCACTATTTTTAAACCCTATTTAAAAGCAAGCCAAGTATAGGATGAGAACCTGAGGGAATATTTTTTGTGCCAGATATATTTGTACCAACCAACCAAAGGAAGAGACGAATGAAACTGAATTGCAAAAGACTTAGTGTTAGGATTTTTAGCTCCCTTCCAAAGATAGCCCACATATGATGTGAAGATGATAACCAAACTAATTTCATTAATCAGGTTATCAAGAAATCAATCAGGTAAATTTCAATTACCATTAAGCATCAGGTTACTCACTGGTATATTAGAAAGTAGTATAGTTATGATGTCCATGCTAGAGATGTTGAATAGCTCCATAATGTATTTTCCTATACACCAAGGTTCCCAGAGAAAGGATAAAGAGCAGAAACAGTGCACTCTAAGTGTTAGACAATTCTTAATATTATTGGCAACCACGCTAATAAATTTACAGTAGATAGAAGGATGCTTGACTTGCCAATTCTAAAGGGATTGATATTTGGATTTCCACCAATAAAATAAAATGCTATCAAAATTGAGAATTATCCAAATGAGAGAGGTGCAAAAGGTGAAGTATAAAGAGTCAATGGATGGAGGGCCAAGTTCCTCAAGCTCCTTAGGAGTACATGTGTCTCTCTAAGGTACCATATGAAGTTTTTTCTCATTGATTTTCCCAAAAATATAGAGATATGGAATAGGTTTTAGAAATGAATTTGTTACATTTTTTGGGAATAATAAAACCCCTAAAATAGTAGGAAATGGTGTTGCAAATAGTATTTTTTTTTAAGAATTGAATTCTACGTGCAAAGGATAGAGATTTATCTTTACAACCATCAAGAGATTGAAGAATAGTTTTGATAAGAGGTTGAAAGTCAGCTTGACGGAGTCTCTTTATATTGATAGTTAAGCTTAGATACTTAATGAGATTTTGTGATTTGGAGATGTTAAGAATATTGCATATATGCTGCTACATAGGACAGTGCTTGGAGAAGATGATAGTGCTTTTCTCCATGTTGACATGAAGGCACGTAGCAAGAACAAAGTGATGTAGTCTTTCCTGAGGGTAACTGCATTCTACTGAGTGGCCTTACCAAAGACAAGTAATTCATCAGCATATAAAAGGTGAGTTAAGGAGCTGTTACTCGAAGACATCCTAGAAAAACTGTTGTTCATAACAGCCTCGTCAAAGCAGTTAGAGAGTCCATCCATAATAAATGAAAAAAAATGGAGATAATGGACATTCCTGCCTAAGACTAGTTGTAGAATTGAAAAACCCTTCCAACACACTATTGATAGCCACATAGAAGTAAACATTGGATATGCTAGCTTTGATCCAAGCCGTGAAGGTTGGAAGGAATCCTTTAGCCAAGAGATGGGCTAGAAGAAATTCCCTAGAGACAGAGTCAAAGGCTTTGTGGATATCAAATTTGCACATAGAATTTTCTCTTTAGCCTTTTTGTTAAAATCCCCCAAGAGTTTAGTAGCAAGTAGGATGTTGTCGGTAATGATCTACCCTTAATAAATCCTGCTTGGCTAGGGTGAATAATGTAAGGCATCACCTCTTTCATTCTGTTAGCTAATATTTTTTGCTATGATCTTATAAAAGGAATTACAGAGAGAGATAGGCCTACAATCCGTAACACAAGAAGCATGAGAGTGCTTAGGGACCAGGGCAATGATAATAGCATTATCTTGCTTAAGCATAAAGTTAGTGGAGAAAAAGCTCAAGACACCATCGCACAATTGTTTCCCAATAACATTCCAAGTGGTTTTATAAAATTCAAATGTGTAGCCTTCATGTCCAAGGGTCTTAGAGGAAGGGGCAGAGAAGACAACCACTTTTATTTCATCCATAGTGATCGGGAACCGTGTTCCCAGTAGGCAGAGTGGGAAGGGCCATTATAGAAGATTGTGGCTTACAAAAGAGAGCCACATAATAATTTATAAAATGATTGCTGATATCTTGATGTGAAGAAAGATTGACCCCATTGAGAGTTATGTAGTTAATCATGTTGGAATTGTGCCGGGAATTAATTTTGGAGTAGAGAAAATTTAGATCATCCTCACCAGAAGTAAGCTATTTAGCCTTTTCCCTTTGAATAATCTAATCCGACCACTATGACTGAGAATCAACAACTTGATGGTTAACCAGCTTAAGAGCAGCATTAAGATATGCGTATGTCGGGTTGTTTTGGATTTGAGCAAGGTGAGTGTTTTGAGAGAGGGTAAGGTCCATAATTTTTTGTTTAAGGAAATTGGAAGAGGCCCGGCTTTTAGATTTAATGATGCTTTTGAGGGTTTCAACTTGTGATAAAATGAGGAAGTGGTGCCGTCATTGACAATTTGAGATAAAGTTGAAAGTAAAGCATCCCAAAATTCACACACATTTTTCTAATAGTTTTTATAGAGAAACCTGTGCTTTTTGTTCGAAGAGGCAGTAGGTCTAATAATGATGGGGGAGTGGTATGAGATTTTAGGGTCAGCCACCAAATAGTAAGAGCCAAGGAAGCTATCTAACCAATAATCATTGGTGAGGACTCTGTCCAACTTGATATGGATGGGGTAGTCGGTTCTTTGATTAAACAAGGTGAAGAAGTGCCCTGTCGATGCAAAATCATGAGCCCCAATATTGAAAATCATATTATTCAACTCCCCAAGTTTGCAAGAATGCAAGGGGGAGACACTAGCTTTTTTATGAGCATATCTATAGCAGTTAAAGTCTCCAACTATAGCCCAAGGCAAAGAGGTGCTCTGAGCCTGTTGGGTGAGGGGTGATTCTAAAAAGTCTGCCTCTCATTAATCGAATTAGAGGCATAAATTATAGAGATACAACAAATGTCATTAGAGCCAACTTGAACAACACCATGAATAAGATGTGGAGTAGTAAGAAGAGAAATGAAATTCACCTTATGTGAATTCCATTTAATACAAATTCTACCTAGGTTAGATAACGAGAAAATATCACAACATTTTTCAGCAAGGGGGGGGGGGGGGGGGGGGGGGGGGGGGGGGGGGGGGGGGGGGGGGGGGCGGCGGGGGGGGGGGGGGGGGGGGGGGGGGGGGGGGGGGGGGGGGGGGGGGGTGGGGGGGGGGTGTGCTCGCAGGGGGGGGGGGGGGGGGGGGGGGGGGGGGGGGGGGGGGGTGGAATTTCATTTTTGTTAGTGGCTAGTGAAGTAGAGGCATTGAAGCTGGGGGGAACGGGTGGAAGGAGAGCTATATCAGACTTTTAGAAGTAGATTTCATATGGTAGGGTATATTTTACCATCCACCGATATGTAGATTTCATCTGGTAGGGTAGATGAGCTGTCGATTTGCACGCACACCAGGGCAAAAATGAGCCTTGTCTTACCCGTTGTAAGAGCATCTACCACTAAAGTGATCACTCCGATGTCCAGCAAGAGAGAGGAGGATTCTTAATCTTGATCCATAGCGGAATGGAGGGAAATTCCTTTTTTGGGGATGAAATCAAGAGTCCATTTCTGCAAAATGAAGGGGTTTTCAAAGAAAAATTATGGGCCACCAGACCAACCCATATCGTAGTCTTCAGGAGCGGTGAACTTGAGGAGGAAGAATCCATCGTCAAGTATCAAAAGAGAAAGAGAACATTTGATCGACCAAGATTTTTTGATAGTCGCAAGGAGGGCTTCATAGTACGACCTACGACCAATGGAGTAGCCGACGAGGGAGAGGGACCATTCCGGCGCTCCATCAACGAACTGAGCTAAAGTAAATTGAGCCGTGAAGTTTTTAGAAGGGTGATGGGATAATGCGTTGGAGAAATCATGAGAAATTTGAGTTTGAGTAGCATGGAGGGCTTTCCAATATAAGGGAACATTTGAAGAAGAAGCAGGGGTGGCAATAAGGGAAGAAAGGAGGGAAAATGGGAGGAAGACATCCCGACGGCGGGGTACTCCCCAACGGCACAGGCCGCTAGAGAAGGCAAACACAAGAAACCCTAGCAGAGCGATACTAGAAAAACAAGTATGATTCTCCAATATTTTAAATTACATTAATCTGCCATAAATGAGATATATAATCGTTCCATGGAATGTCGCCGGTCAGCATGTAGGAGTGTGGCTGACACGAACTTCCACATCCACAGGTCGAAACGGGCCTCCGCTTCGCCTTCTCCGCTTCCAATCCCTAAATCGACCCAAGAAAATCCTGCACCCTTGCCCCTCCTTCCACCTCTACGCCAGAAATCTTAATTGGCTTATAAATGGCGGCAGCTCTGACCCGTCTTTCTCGCAAAGCCCTAGGCTGTGCCCTGGTTAATGGTGGTGCCCCGATCCGCCGACTTCTCTCCGCGGAAGCAGCGGTGGCCGCGGCGTCGCCATCATTCTCTGATGTTAATCCTTCGCCGGATGACCGAGTGAAGTGGGACTATCGCGGGCAACGGCGGATCATCCCTCTTGGGCAGTGGCTACCTAAGATCGCCGTGGATGCTTACGTGGCCCCTAACGTGGTGCTTGCGGGTCAGGTCACCGTCTGCGATGGTTCCTCCGTCTGGAACGGTTCCGTTCTCCGCGGCGACCTTAACAAGATCACCGTCGGCTTCTGTTCTAACGTTCAGGAGCGCTGCGTCGTCCACGCCGCTTGGTCCTCTCCTACAGGTGCTCACTTCCTTCGCTCTGTCATATCTTATTGTTTTGATGAACTGAGATTCCCTTCTCATGCGATATTTGAAACTTGAGGAGGACTGGTCGGCTTGATATGATTGCGTTAGGACGCCGTCGCGTTAGTACTCGCGCTAGGTTTCTTTCTGTGATTTGGCTTTGTTGGTGCCTGTATTGGTGATTTGAGCGTATGGTAGAATTACATTATGATTGTGCTTCAATTTTTCCCATGTATTTGGCAAAGGGCTTAGGAGGCCAGGATTGGTAATCAGTAAGGTATCGCCACTTTTGCTGGCCTGATGGATTTGTTATATTACTTTTAGTTCTAGAGAGAGACTGTGCCTGCAATCCTCTGGGTGTGCTATAGCTTGGATGGAACGATCATGAACTTTTTGGATTTCTTGTTGACAACATTATGCTAGTAACCCTATTTTTATTTTTATTTTTTATTTATTTTTTTTAATATGCTAATAACCCTTAAAGAGTTGGAGTTAGTTGCCTCTTGTGATTCTTTTCTTCATACTAGATTGTTCATTAGTTTCATATATGCTTCTCACACTGCTAACGCTATTTGCCTCCCGCTCACTAGCTTCTTAGGGCATCTCTAATTGAACGCGTTACATTTCCGTCGCTCCAATCGATCGACATTTTTGCCGCTATTTGATCGCTAATGAATAGTGCGACGCCAATATTGGCGTCGCACTGTTCACCTGCTATTTTTTTTAATTCTAAAATTAATTATTAGTTTTAAATATTAAAGTTTAGAAATTTTTTATTAATAATTAAGAAATAATAAATTAGAAATATCTTATTTTTTAGATATTTAAATATTTTTTACATAATTAATTAATTTAAGATATAATATTAAGATAGAAATCAAGATAAACGTGTTGGATCAACCACAATCATTCTGGAAGCCGTAACAGATTGTGATCTTTGGATATGACAGACACTAATAATGATATAAATGTGTTGTAGTTATTCCACATTTTCTCTAATCTCACTCAAGGTATATCTCATTCCTGTTATTATGTCATTCAAGGAAAAAATATAACATGGGTTATTATTTGGCTTAAAATATATATTCGAAATGATTAACCATTGTGCAAACAATTCAAGAACCAAGTACTTCAAAGAAACAATATTTTGCAATGAAATAGAAAGCATCTAGAAAAGACGTAGAACATACTTTTGGAACTCTCCAATCTCGTTTCGCAATTGTGGCAGGACTTGTACGTTTTTGGAACTAAGATGCAGTGCATGATATAATGGCTACATACATAATTTTGCATAACATGATAATCGAAGATGAACGTAATCTCACTGGACCAATTCAAGTTGAGAGAGAAGCATCACCCCCTGAGTTTGAAAGGTGATGGATGAAAATACTCAGTTTCAGGAATTTAACGCTCACCCTAAAAAAACTAGAAATAAAGATGCCCCAATTGCACTACGAAATGCATTTATTGATCATTTGTGAGATCAATGTACTAATTTTAATGTTTAGTTGCCCTTGTATTATTCTCGTTCCTATTTATGTGTTCTAATGTAATTTTTATTTTATTAACTAAATATTTGTTTATTTAGAACATATTAATATTCCAAATTATTTTATGAACAATTTTTTTAATAATTATAATAGATTTAATTCAAAAATTTGATAATTTTTTTTTTATTAAAAATATATAAAATAAAGTATGAGAAAGAATATAATATGAATATTTTGTTTTTGGTGTTGGAAAATGGAGTTCGGTTGGAGACAAGTTAATGCATTATGGTGTATTATTGCATTTTGCAGTGAAAAATGAGTTTTTCGGTTGGAGATGCCCTTATAGGGAGTGCTTCTCGATGCCCAACCTTCATACTTCTTCTTGTTTCACATTGTTTTTGTCTCCGTCTCTAATTAGTTTTAATCTCATTAATTTTTTTTAAATTTTAAGTGTTTTTTATCACTTCATCATTAATATTTTTTAATTACCTAATATGGTTTATTTTTAGCTAATTTTATGATCATTGTATGTAGATAATACATACATATATGCTATATAAATCAGGAATGATCTAGTTTGTAAATCATCTCTTCACTTCACGCATTAAGGGGTTGTTTGGCTGGCTAAAAATGAATTTAGTGTAAAAAGAATGTAGTGTAAAAGGAATACTTTTGTATTGTTTGAATGAGTGTAAAGTAAATTCAGGTGAATGATTTTTTGTTTGATTTGAAGTAGAATAAGTGTAGTGTAAAATTTAAAAATGGCGACGGATGATGACGATGATGGCCGGAGGATGTTGGCAGTGGCCATTAGTGGGTGGTGGTGGCTGCTAGCGAGTGTGGTGGCCGACGGTGGTGGCAGGCGGTGGTGATCGGTGAAAATTTGTGTCGGTGGCTAACGATGGTGGAGGCTGGCGGCGATCAAGCGAGTTTGCTTGTGGTGAAATCGTTCTCGCTCAAAACTTGGCTAGTTTGGTTTATCTAAAAAATGAATTGGAATGATTTGTACTACATTGACTTTGAATTCTTTTTTCTTCCAATTAAACACTAAAATTATTAAAACCCCTGCATTTGGAATACCTTACACTTTAAAGTATTCCAACTAAACAGCCCCTAAAGCAAAAAAAAAAATTCCTTGTGAATTGCATTTCTCTTAACATTTTGAAAACATTAATGAACTTTATGTTACATAAGCAAAAGTGTGGTAGAAATATGATTTCTTCATGATAATTCTCATTGCAAATGAGACTGTTTTCATACCATTAACAAAAACCAAAGGGAACTATTAGCAAGAAACCATATATTGATGGAAGTGTCTTGGCATGAGGAGTAGGCTTTATACCTTTTGTTTGGAACCATTATCATTGCATATGGTCTAGTAATTTAGATTATTTGATGGTCATATTGAGGGATACTAAAGGCTTTCTGGATTTATAACCCTTACGGCCATTTGATTAACACACACACATATATATATATATATATATTCTTTTGCTTATGCTCTTTAAGTAGGTTTGGATGTGCTTATAAAATTAAAATTTTGGAATGACTAAGAATAATTAATTCAAAAGATTTCTCTTGAAGAATAAGTTTTTATTGGAGGAGATTTAAATGAACATGTTGATAGAGAGATAGAGGATTTTAAAAGTATTCATTGTGGCTATGGCTTTGGAGTGACTAATGAAGGTATTAAGATTATATTAGATTTTGGTTTAGTTTATGATTTTGTAATTGTTAATACCTTATTTAAGAAAAGATATGAACATCTCATTACTTTTAAGAATGTATATAGTAAAACTCAGATTGATTATTTTCTTATAGGAAAAATAGATTGTTTCTATAGTAAAGTTCGTAAAATTATTCCGAGTGAAAATTTATATACCAAACATTGCTTATTAGTTTTGAATTTTAAGAAGGGGCATAATATGAAAAATTTAGTAAAACATTATTCTAAGATTAGATTGGGGCTTTTAAAAGACAAAAACATATTTTTAAAAGTAATATTCAAGATTTTAATATTTTGTCTGTGCATGAAAAAGTGAATATTATGTGGGATAAAGTAGCTAGTAATATTAATAATATTGTAATAGATGTGCTTGGAGTTTTAAAAGGAAAAGTTCCTAATAATAAAAATAGTTGGTGGAATCAAAATGTGCAAGAAAAGATAAAAAAATAAGAAGCTTTGTTATAATAATTGGTTTAGATGTAAAATCTCTGAAAGTTGGGAAATATATATAGAGACTCGTAAGGTATTTAAGAAAGCAATTGCAATGCAAATATTTTAGAATGAGTTATATAATATATTAGATTCTAAAGATGACAAAAGATGTATGTATAAGTTAGCCAAACAAAAAGATAAGAGTAGTAAAGATTTAGATCAAGTGAAGAATATTAAGGATGAGTATAAAAAAATATTTTTTTTAGAAGAGTATATATTCAACAAAGGTGGATGAGATATTTTGCTAAGCTTTTCAATGAAGATTGTGAGAATATGATTGACTTTAGCGACCTTAGCACTCCAAATGAAAATAGATATTTTTATTTTTATTGTGTATTAGTAAAACTAAAGTTAGAGAGGCTTTAAAGAAAATGCAGTATGGAAAACCTAGAGGACCTTATGATATTCCAATGGAGGTGTGGAAATGCTTAGGAGATGAAAGAATTTCTTGGCTTATTAAACTTTTTAATATTATTTTAAAGATTAAAAAGAGGCTAGATGAGTGGGTAATGAGTGTGTTGAATCCTATTTTTAAGAATAAATGTGATGCACAAGATTATGCGAATTATAGAGGAATTAAGTTGGTGTGTCATATTTTAAAACTTTGGGAGAGAGTTATGGAGCATAGGTTACGACGTGATACTAATGTTTCTCAAAATCAATTTGGATTCATGCTTGGTAGGTCTACTATGCAAGCTATTCATTTATTGAGAGGGTTGATGGATAAGTTTAGAGAGATTAAGGAGGATCTACATATGATATTTATTGATTTAGAGTAAACATATGATAAAGTTTCAAGAGAAGTGCTGTGGAGAGTTCTAGAAAAGAAAAGTTTTAATAATGCTTATATTCCAGTCATTAGAGATATGTATGCAGGAGCTGTTAATTGTGTTCAAACACAAGGTGGTTTGACAAAATATTTTCCTATTTCAGTCAAGGTTTAAAATTGCGTAACTGCGCCTCGAGGCGGTTTTCGTCCGTGAGGTGAGGCGTAAGCCTCGAGGCGGTCTGAGGCGTAAGCCTCACCAACACAGAATTGCGTAAATGAAAAATTAAGGATTTTAGCAGGAAAATAATAGCAATAATGGAAAATAAGAAAGTAGATGCAATAAAATTATGTCCCAAAGTACAAAATCACAAAATATCAGTTTAACAAAACTCCCAAAATACAAAAAACATATAAAATGAAGTCATATCCCATCACAAAATATCAGTCTTCAAGTGAATCTTCTTCTCCAATTGTATCTATGAATGCCATGTCATCTTCATCTTCAACATGACTCACTTTTCTCTTCCCTGTTCATTAAAAGAAAAGATTATTAGCATATTAATTGGATGAACCACTCATTATCAAGCAGACTAGCAGAGAACATATACCTTTACTTGCAGAGCTAGCAGATGTGTGTGGTGTGGTACTAGTGGATGTACCCGTTTGATCTGCTTCGCCCCTCAATACATCCACATTTAGATCTTCTACCTGTAAGTCTGATAATGATAAATCTGCCTCATCATCTATGAACCACTCATTATCAGACGACAGATCATCACACACCAACGGGTCCTCATCATCTTTCAACCCCTTATTCCTCAACCTCCTATCTCTTAACCTCTTGTTGTGCATTATGTATACGAGGGAGTTCATTCTGAGTGTAGATAGTCGATTTCTTCTCTTTGTTTGCACTTGACTATATGTACTCCAATTTCGCTCACACCCAGAAGAAGAACAAGTGAGGCCCAACACTCTCACAGCAAAACTCTGTAGCTCAGGGGTGGAATCACCAAATTGGATCCACCATTCAACTGTTTTCAAGAAGAAAATATAATCAAAATTCAGAACTGAATAAAGTGTATTGCATTTACCAAATTAATTATACCTGGAGACCGTTTAGAAATGGTAGTTTTTGCTGCATTCAAACCAAAAAAACCCTCTTTATTCCGGAACAGAACAAGCTGTAAATCTGCAAGCTCCCTATCTGCCTGCTCCGGTATTAATCTTTCCATACAGTGATATAGACCAAGCTTAACTTCCGGATTTGAAGATTTTTTCTCTGAATATTGAAATTGAGGGTTAAGATAATATGCAGCTGCGCAAGGTGTCCAATAGAGGTGTGTCCTCTTCTCCATCAACATCTGACCAGCTGCTTTGTATGCACTGGCATTATCAGTCACTACCTGGACAACCAACTGCTCTCCAATCTCCTCAATAACACCATCAAGTAAATTAAAAATGAATGTGGCATTTTTCACCTCATCTGAAGCATCAACTGATCGTAAGAACACCGTGCCGTAGGGATTGTTGACAAGGATGTT